CTGGTTCTCTAACTCACATAAATCCGTGGTCAAACTTAAAATAATAATAGTAATAGTAAGCATCATATTAAGTAACTCCTTTCAAACAATGTGCCGTTTTTCAGACGCATTAATATTACAAATCTTTAAATATTCCCATTTATAATATTAGAACAAGACATATAAGCGGACAATACTGTTGTTTTCAATTAGGTCTTCTTCAGGATTTACTCTAATTTATTTATTTTTGATTACAGCTTGATTCTACACTGTATTTTTGGTGCAAGTATGGAATTTTCAGCATCTGATATCGGTAGCCTAAAATTTGCAGACCGACCATTGCTATCAGGTGTTCGTCAGCAGAGGATCGAACTCCAGACCATGTGCATTGTCGGCGAGAGTCCTAACCACTGTGCCACCCACGCACACAGATTTATAAATAAAACAGAGTATAACTAATGATGGTGAGTTTGTGGATCAAATAATAGTAATAAACGGAAGGTCCTGGGTTCGAATCCCGGTAGGTGCGTACTGATGAAGAGTCCCAAACTAGGACTAAACAGCTGTCCAGTACTCCCAGGCTTTCCAATGGTTCTCTAACTAATATCAGCTCATGATGAAATCCTGAAACCAATCAAATCCCTACAAACCAACACTTGAATAATAATAATATTAATGAGTTAAGTGTTTTGGACGTCAGTTATAACAATGATTATAATGATAACAAAGTAACGATAATAAGGTTTACGCAGGTGGCGATATGAATAACGAAGGTAGCAATATGTGTGTATATGTAAACAGTTCAATAAATAAATAAATTAGATCAAATCTTGAAAGTTACGTCATACTAAAGGTGCAGTGGACAGGTAATCAGAGTGCAAACATATATCATAAAAGTACGAGGGAAATGGGAAATTATGAAGGGTAGTAGGGTTTTAGTTAGAATTTACCTAGGCCAAGGGGGGGGGACAAAGGTAGAACAAACTTCTTTTGTTGTACACAAAGACTAGGATCGTTCTCTCGAATTAATTCTCATAGCTTTGGCTATGTGTAAAAGATGGATCTGAATTCTGTTCGTCCAAAGGTTCAATGGAACGTAATAGATAACTTGGAAAGCATTTCTTCTGTCCACTTGATGACTACTGTCAGTCAAATGAGATAATATAGAACATCCTATAGATTTTATCTGGTCTTTCTCTAACCATGAAGGAATATGCTCGATAATGCGTTTTTATTGAGTTGTCGTTTGAAGTGGTGACAACTAGCAGTGTCCATTAGGGATTCCCAATGTCTCCATCTCTATTTAATTTCATCATAGATGTGCTAGTGGAATTAAACCTATCTGACTTCAGCGACTCAGGGACTAACTAGTTAAAAGGGAATAATCAGGATGACTTAGAATATGCAGATCATATAGTCCTTCGAGGTGAGGACGCTGACGAAATGCAGAATCTTAACACCTTGAGATGCAATCTGCGAATGTTTGGCATGCAATTCACCCTCTTCTTTGAAATGTAAGATGATGCTACAGGACTGGACTATGCTGACACCTAGCGTAAAAATAAGGAGTTAAGTAGTTGGTGGAGCGTGTTGACCACTTCACTTATTTGGGGAGTTGTATCAGCCAACGCCGGTAGGTTGAACGCTGGCGAAGTCTCAGCACGGATAAATAAGGCTCGTTTGGCATTTATCAGCCAACTTACGCTATCTCTGGCTTAGTAGACGTGACATCCCGCTGGCTATCGACCAAAGGACGCATGTACTGCTCAGGAACAGTATTCTTCGTCCTCCTTAATCACTGTGAGTGAGACCTGGCCATTGAAAGTACAAGACACGAAAAGGCTAGCTGTCCTTGATCATAGGGTGCCTGCGTTCTATCTCCCATGTTAGGTGGTAATAAGAGAGTGAACATATTGAGGTTAGGCATCGGTCTAGTGCTAGGTAAGGAGGGAGAATCAATAGACGACATTGTTAAGTTACATCGACTGAGTGAGAGGGTTAGAACATGTGTTACGCATACCTAACCATCCAATGCCTTCCTCAACAACGGGAAATGTTAGCTGACATAGGATCAATGAGGTTGGAAAAGAGCTAGCGCATGGTGGTCAAACCCAAATATGGCTTTACCAGTCAGTGAAATCCACAACAGTTAGTTTAAGCCAGCCAGTCACACAGGGAGGTGTAGACTGCTGTCTAATTTGGGTCCTCGTGGCAGTAGAAACCAATGGTTGGAGACAATCGGTGATAAGGATCAAAATTATTCTCATTGGTTGGCGCGGATGCATCCACTCCTTGTGACTTATAATATACCCAGTGAAACTCTATGGTTATTCGGTATTACTATTCTTTTTGCCTTATATTTCTGTTTTCTGTCTCCTTTTACTTTATTCTACTTTGTATATTACATGTAGGGAGAGTGGCGACTCGAACTGCTGCACATCTGTACAAAGTCCTACCTTGTAAACTAGTCAGTCAGTGTTGAACTGTCCAGTTGTTCGCCCTGTTTACCTTTCTTCTCCATAGGAGCAGCGAAATTTGTAAATACTCATAGAAGTGCCGCAACTGGGAACTTTATCTTTCTCTAGAACAATCGTAATCAGCAGTCAGAAAAACGGCAAACAAAAGGTGGCACAGCAGTATAAGAAGTTCGTTTTGTTGCTGTAGATAATCTCAGATGTAGGAGTTCACTAGCCGCATCCCCCATTGAATTGTAGTTTTAGGAAGAGTTATTCCTTTTTAACCAGTTTCATAGGCCTAGTTCAGGACTCATCGTCAGTACGCACCCAGCTTGGTTTTGAATCCACCACCTTCCGGTTACAAGACAAGCTCGTGTATCATTCAGCCACTGGGACCCGATTCAATGGCTCATGAATTGTAACATCTACACCAATTAGTCGTGATTTAGCGCGACCCCAACAAATCGGGTCCCAGTGGCTGAATGGTATACGAGCTTGCCTTATAACCAGAAGGTCCTGGATTCGAATCCCAGAGGGCGTGTACTACTGTTAATTCCCAAACTAGGATGAATCACCACATTATTATGATTGTAATTTGATCCACAAAATCACCTTCATAGACTGAAATTTTTATATAAAAAATCTATGTAAATTAGAGTAAAGCCTGAAGATCTCATTGAAAACAGCAATGTTTTTCACTTATATGTCTTTTTGTAATATCAATACTACAAAGAAATCTTTTTTCAGTCCCTACCACTATTAATTTTACCATAACGAGTAAAAGGCAAAGTAGAACTATGCCGGAAAGTGTAGCCCCTTAGATGGATTACCAAGTGATAAAAGAATTTAATGAAGTGGAATGAACAGTAGGGTTAGAAGTTTGACAAGCATTATGTAGTCCCTAGCACGGTAAGTAATAGACATAATAAGAAAGGTCATGAGGTCGTCACAGACCTGAAGTAGACATTTGTCAAATGAAACAAAAGGGAAACACATAAGGATAAGGAGAGAAATACGATAGAGATCTAAAAGCACGATTTTCGCCCTAATTAATCTTGTTGTAAATAAAATATGTGGGAGATATCCAAATTGGTTGGAGGACTTCATCATCAGCTGACATTAGTTACAGAACCATTAGAAAACCAACTGGGAGGAGTACTGCACAGCCATCAGTCTCGCGTCCCACTAGCCTTGGACTCCTCATCAGCAGGAACCCACCACAGGGGTTCTGGTTACAAGGCTAGCGAGCTCATAGACCATTCAGTCACTGAGACTCGATCCAGTGGCCAGTCCATGAATTCCAAATTCTACCAATTTACCATATAGAGCGACAGACACTAGCTAATGTCATCCGTGGCGAGTATTTGTCCTCGCACCCAATCTGCTGTGCTCCACTGGTCACCAGCTCACCTTGTCTACCTTTGTGTGCTATTTGCCAGGTGGCAACTCGAACTGCTGCACTTCGGTGCCTAGTTCTGTGTTGAATCCAGACAGATAGACAGACAGAGCTCACCTTGTAACCAGAAGGTCCTGGGGTTAGAAACTTAGTGGTGGATGTGTACTGACGAAGAGTCACGAGCTAGTGGGACGAAACAACAGCTATCTAGTACTCCTCCCTGGTGGTTTGCCGATCGTTCTTTAAACGATGTTAGTTTATAATGGAATCCTTTAACCAATGAGCAAAGTTAAACTTGAAGCCCCACCATCTACCAGTCAACAAATGACCTCGAACGCACCAATCACATGAAGGAGACATTTTTGTGTATGGAATACATCTATTTATGAGGAAAATGCATAAAAACTGTAGAAAAGTGTTATAGAGGATACCTTTCTCTCATATGTGTTAAAAATAACTCTTAGTTTTAGGTTGGAGTATCAACAAAGTATAATTCCATTGTTGATCAAATTTATTTTGATAAAGTCTCATAGTGTAATAGAGTAATATCTACTGAACAATAAATTGTACTCGAAACGTGGTCATCAGTAAATATTGCTTACTATATAACACTGTGAGACTTTATTAAAATACATTTTACTCACAATGGAATTATACTCTACCGCCACAGTGCACAAGTTCTACTCTTATATCAACAGGGTAATTTAACCACACTCTATGCATGTAATTATTTAGGTCTTCTAACCTGACCCTAACGTGAAAATATCCCTAAACTAACTGTAATCTAACTTGGGCCAAACCTACTATCGCCTTTGTTAGGGTTAACCTAACCTTAACTTGTCCTTGGGCTTAAAGAGTAACTTAATCTTTCTCAAACCTAAACTGAATGTTGGCAGATATCCCACTTTAATAGCATAACACTTCAATGAGCATATTCTGATTGATGATGACAACATTATTTGCTAGGTTTCACTTATACTCGCTCAGCGAGCGTTTCACGGTCATTGGTGAGGTCGCACTCCATTGGCAGTTAGTGGTGCTTAAAGTTTAACTTGGCTAACCAATCAAACCAAATGCCTGCAAACCACCAACACTTAAATATTCCAAATAGTTAGTTTTCAAGCTGTAAATCAATAAAAAATATACATATACATAAATAAATAACTCACATCATCGAATTCAGAATCCCAATCTGAGCGTGTAATCACATATTGAACTTCATTATTCATATATTGATGTAAAGTGCTAACGAAAAAAAAGAGCATAAAACATAGACATGTAGAAACACATATTACCAGGATAAATACTGCTCATTTAACCGTAAAAATTAAACAACCCCCCCCAATGATCTTGAATATCAATCTCCGGTTAATTAGTGACTACATACGATAAATGTCGTGAAGAGCTAAGTGTGAGATAAATGGTAGGAGACAGTATCCATCATATCAGGGTAAAGAATAAATAACAATAGTAGTAGCTTTATTCTGAGCATTGTTTATTATAATGTACAGAATTTTCACTGGAGTTTATTACATTACTGATATAAGTATAAAAATTGGCCACTGTGGTAGAAGAGTATAACTCCATTATGAATAAGATTTTATTTTGATAAAGCGTCACACAGTGTTGTTATACAGTAGTGATATTTACTGATGACCACATTTCGAGCACAAACTATCGCCACTCGTAATCATATCAAGTCACTCACTCACTCACTCACTCACTCACTGACTCACTCACACATAACCGTCTTGCTTCACTTATATACATGAGTGGAACTGATGATGATTAGACATTTGAATAAAAATCAACCAATATAGGATAATGTACATTCAGAAACAACAATAATAATAATATGAGTGTTATTCATCAAACACAATCAGATGGGAAATAAGACGAGTGTTTCTTTTTATAGTCAAAATAAATAAGTAACTTGTTAGAATGTTATGATGTGCCTGAATTGAATTGAAATAGAATTTTAATGTTATATGTTATCCTCTTCTGATTTGACTGACTGACTGGTGGTGGTAATAATATCTTCCATGCATATCTCTAGTGTTTGCATGGAGCCATTTCTGTTGCATGTGTTGTGTTGGGTGTAGACTGACTCGATGAACCAGGCCGGATTGAGTAATCAACCACTTTCTCCCTCTCTTCACCTACATAGATTACTTCTTAGAATCTTAACCCTCTCCCACCCTCTCTATTGTGTAGTTGTTTGTTAATGCCTGAAGTGCGATGTAGTGCTGAGCTTTGTTCTAAATTACTTATCTTCACAGATGAAGTCAATCATTCTAACCTTAGCTAAATTCTGATGTTCCGACAATCTGATTACCCCCGGTCAACTAGTTTGACCTATGCAGTTGACCTCACAGTCATTGTAGGGTATTTTGTAAACTATAATATACTCATCCTTTTTCCCATCTGACTGTAATTGATCAATAACACTCATATTATTATTATTGTTGTTTCTGAATGTACATTATCCTATATTGGTTGATTTTTATTCAAATGTCTAATCATCATCAATTCCACTCATGTATATAAATGAAGTAAGAAAGAGTTGTGTGAGTGACTCGATATGATTATGAGTGGGAATAGTTTGTGCTCGAAATGTGGTCATCAGTAAATATCACTACTGTATAACAACACTGTGTAATTTATCAAAATAAAATGTTATCCATAATGGAGTTTATTTGCATGATATTTCCTCTTCGTTCGGGATCTTCAAATACAGAAAAAGATTGAGAATAGATCGTGTGACACAGTTCTAACCGAGATGTGAAGCACAAACCAAACCATTATGATGATATCTCTTCTTCTTCGAGAAGTACACGACGACATTTTGTAGTTGAATGCCAATCAGCAAGTTGTAAATGTTTTAAATACCCGCCAGAGTAAACAACACCATTTGAGGTCATATTTTACCAGATTAAAACAAACCGATTCAAAAAGAGAAATAATATGCAGTATACAAAATGATGGAGGTTACTTTCAAGTAACCCAAATTTTAAGCAAGCTGATGAAGAAATTCCTCATTGGTACTTGGTTGACAGTGTGGAGGGGGGGCGGGGTTAGCGTTAATGTACCACGAATTCACAGGTTAGTGAATTCCCCAATATAGAGGCTGACTTAATTAGGATATTGTCACTTAGTTCCCTAAAGAAGTTGTGGATGCGCAAGAGTCCCAGACTATGACGAAACAACTTAATAGAAATGGAAATTTCAATCAAAGCAATAGAACTGCTCTTTATTTTCATTGAAAGATAACACGATCTTCATTGGACACTAGGGTTGTAAGTAAGTGACTAGTGTGTCATGGCATCTATTCCTTGGTGTTGTGTTGGTGTGCCAACTGAATTCTGTCGTCAGTCAGGTGAATAATGTCGCCATTGTGACACCACTCACTAGGTGTACTCTGAAATGTTATTGTTATTTTAGATAGTTGGAGACAATCGGTGGGAACCCAGAAACTAATGCCTAAAAGTCAAGTGTTAAAGACACTCACTCACTCAGTACTTAATTCAGGTGGCGTTACCAATGAGATGTTCAGACTCACAACTAATCTTCTCTAGGACTGGTAATTAGTCATGTAGACTAACAGTTCGGTGGCGGAGGGGGAGGCGTGTGGGAGTTGGTCCTTAGTCTTGGATCCTGATTAATTCTTATCAGTTAGTTGGTAGTTTACAATAATGAGGTGCTCAATAACTTTGTGTATAAAGATTGTTGAGAGCAAAACTCATTGTCAGTCGTTTACTATACATGAGTATAATAATGTAGTAATAATAATGAACAATTATGATTGCATGGAGGATTTTATCATGAGCTGACGTCATTTAGAGGACCACTGGAAAACCTGGAAGTACTGAACAGCTGTTTCGTCAGCCTAGTTTGGGACTCCAGTGGTTCTTTAACTGATATCAGCTCATGATGAAATCCTTCAACCAATCAAACAAAATCTCTACAAAACCAATACTTGAAAATTAACCTGATGCTCATTAGTGACTGGCCCCCTATTCAGGCAGTTAACCTGGGGTTCTAGTGGGAATCCGTGACCAGTAGGGTACATCAGGTTGAAGATGAGGCAATAACTTATGGAAGAAGACATTACGAAATGGTCGCGCTATGTCCTGAATTGGTAGAAGTTAGAATTCAAGGACCATTGGATTGGGTCCCAGTGGCTCGACGGTCTACGAGCTCACTAGCCTTGTAACCAGAAGGTCCTGGGTTCGAACCCCGGTGGATGGGTACTGTGAGGAGTCCCAAACAGGACGAAACAGCTGTCCAGTACTCCAAGGTTCTCTAGTGGCTCTCTAACTGATGTCAGCTCACGATGAAATCCTCCACGTAATCCAAAAAAATCCCTACAAAACCAATACTTGAAAAGAACAATTATGACTTAAAAATTGTTTACCAGAAGTCGTCTTTATTGTTGCTGTCACAGTCTATCTTCAACATACCCACCCAAACACACACACACACACGCAAACATACATATATACACACACAAGCATGCAGAGAGTACAGACACGCACACACCGACGATATGTATCCTTCCAAATTAAACAACCCTCCAAAATATTCGATACCAATTAAAACAAAAAGTAAAGAATTTTGAAGAAAAAACATTCCAGACTACACATGGAGGCATGCAAGTCAGTTCAATACTTAGAATATTAATAATTGAAATACCTAAACAGTTGGTCAAGTCGACTGTTAACTCTGTCTCATTTGATATACTCATATTGCAAACTGAGTTAAACTGACAAAGTATAAATGTTGTCGCTTTCGTTCTCTTGTAACATTCATTATTTTTCGGACAAAAATTAATCTGGATTAAAAAGACTATGAATAGTAAACGCGCGCACACACACACACACGCACACAAACACTGAAACAATCGTGATAAAACAGGGGACGTATTGAAATATCATGGTTCACAATTCTTGTGAAACTCCTGTTGGTGTATATAAGGTGACCTGGTTAAACCACTTTAGCATTATTATTATTATTATTTTACATCCCGAGAAAAAAACATAGTGTGACATGTGCTACTGATAGCATTTATCAGTAGTACATAAACAGACTTTTATTGGCATAAAAATATCAAATAGCAGGGAGATAGATTTGACATCAAATAGAGCAAATGAACCAGTCTTACGGCAAAACATTCGGAGACATGGAAAGAAAGTCAATACGGAAGATCTATGCAGAAGACGATTTTCAAATAAAGTGTACTTAATTTCCCTATATAGAGATATCGAACTCTAAATAAACATTCCTTTTCCAAGTCTCTTTCCTTATACCGTTACATTAGGACCTCAACAGAACGTTGCATTAAGCAAACCTGACTGATAGAATTCAGTCTGCACCAACACCAAGGACTAGACACATTACACTAGTTACTAACTAATGTCCCACCAAAGAAATTAAGCTCAGTTATATATAGAGACTGGTTGTGTGCGTCGGTGGTTCAGTGGTAAAATGCTGGCCAACCACGCCACCTTACGTGGTTCAAGGTTCGATTCAAGGCCACTGACTCACTCCTAAACCTCACCATTCGACAGATTCTAGAACATAGGCATACTCACCACCGGCGTCCAATAATCATTATATTTCTTCACCTAAAGGCGGAATTAGATTCTGTCGACCGAGAGGTTCTCTGGCGATGCTAGGCTGTAAAGGGAATGACGAGAAAATACAGTGCACTGATTAAGGCACTCTACTCGAACTCATGCAGCCACGTGAGGGCTTACAACGAGTTGTCATCTGAAGTGGTGACGACGAGTGGTGTCCATCAGGAATACCTATTATCTTCGTTTTTATTCAATTTCATCATAGATGTAGTAATGGATTCAACCTTAACTCACTTCCGAGACTCAGGGATTGACTCTCTACCAGGGAATAATCTCGCTGACTTAGAATATAAAGATGATGTACTCCTGCCTTCTAGGGCAAGACGCTGACAAAACGTAGAATCTTCTGAACACCTTGAGCTGCAATTTACGAATGTTTGGCATGCGATCTGCTCCTCCTAAATGTAAGATGATGTTACAGGACTGGACTACACTGACTCCTAGTTTGGAAATAGGGAGTGAGGTGGTAGAGAACGTTGACTACTTCACCTATTTGGGAAGTACTATCAGCCAGTACCAACGGGTTGATTGCTGACGAAATCTCACCACGGATACAGAAGGCTAGCTTCGCATATGCCATTTTACACCGTCTCTGGCTTAGTAGACGTA